TTCTTTCCATATTGCTGGGTCGATGACTGCATTCAAAATCCAAATCAACAGAACAAAGACTACATTTCCCGAGATTTATTTCATTATTAATAATATCAGCTCAGGAGAGGATGATCTAAGAGAAGCATTCCCCCATGCATGGGTCTCTTTCCATGATAATATTTTGAAATCTATTTTTAACTTTCAGTCCATAGCGGTAACTTTAACAGCGTTACCTGATTGGTCAGTTCGAGTAACGTAATGTCGGAGCCTCGATCAGAAGGAAATAAAAATAACTTTCACTGCATGGCACGAAACTATTAATAAATTTCATCCTCTCTGGGTCAGGTGTTATTTTCGGATATATGACTGTTTTTTCTTTTATTCATTGACCTAGCTGCTTTTAGTTCCATTAATTCCATTGTCATTAATTCATGATGTATGTCCCTTATATGTCCACGAAAAGGCCAAAAAGATTTCATTCATTCATTCAAAAAGTAGAGCAGATTACTGCATTCTCACTGATCTTTTCTTCATTCTCAATCAGTCAAAACTAAAAAAGACTTTCTAACCTTTTCATGTGCTGAATAAACAAATCGACTTTGTTTAACGATGGTGACACTAATCAATCTCTGTGGCCCTCGGATCCCAGATCAAATTAGGATTTAGAAATATTGGTGTTTGTGGGGGGAGGAAAACCGGAGTACCGGCGATAAAGGCTCTGTATATTCCAGGGGCACCCAACGGATCGTTTCGGTGAAATATAAGGCCTATAATCGCCTCAGATATTCGGATTAAAGTTTGGAGTTTTCTTTAGGGAAATATGATCTCGAACTTTCTTAATATGATAAAATTAATGCCTATTATTTTCGGAGAGATAAAAATTTCGTTTTGGGTACAAAAAAAGGTCAGCTAGGATTTTCGGAAAGGAAAAATGGTCAGCGAGGATTTTCGGATTTCGGGAAATGACTAAAAAGCACTACTGATTATAAATTCGTGAAGTCTAAAGTTCCCCTAGAATGACCAAATAGATATAAATTTTATAGCGCAGCTTAGAATCCATTTATAGATATTTAAAAGCACACCAGACAGCCTAAAATAGTGTTGTGGGAAAACCGTCGTTGGGTGCCCCTGATATTCCTCATGATCATGTATTAAACAAAACGTCCTGCCTCATTCAAGTGAAAAGACTAGTAATTTACAGTTCAATGGTAATTGTATTCATAGTTATGGCTTTTCTGTTACCTTCCAGATTAAGCTGTAGTGATGTGATTGATGGTTTTCAGTAAGCTTCGCAGCATCTTTGTAGCTACTTGACGGAAGAAGGTCGCACCAACGTTTACCTTTATCGCCATGAAATACAGCCACGTTGAATGAGACACATAAAACATTTTGGAGACAAGCGAAACTGCAGTCCAGAATGTCATCCACAAAGGTTCGTTTTATACGGCTGATATTCAGATAATAAAACAGACGAGTTTCGAATGAAGCTGTTACTAATTCAGCGATTAACCATTGGAATTTCAAAAGGCAAAGTATTAAAACAATTGTGGTAATAGTTTTCATACTTTTTTCCAAAAGAGTAATCTTTCAAGGGGACGTATATACCAGATGCTTGTGTGTAACTTGGTGTATCCTAGCAACGAAAAAAAACAAACAATATGTCAATTTCACTTGAAATGTACTGTCAGCTAATAAGTCGGGTTGCATTTCATTTCCTCAGATTGAATTTTTAAATTGAATAATTACATATTCACAAATGCGATTGCAAGAAAAAGTAAAAAAGTCGGCCACCGAATCGGTTTACATGTATTCGTTATATATCTCACTATTATAATTAGAGTGTAGCTTGAAAATCGATATTTGATTAGCAGTGATTAAAACTATCATGTAATTTCCATTTTCAAGCTTAAAGGGACACTGTCCCGGAGTATTTGCTCAAAACTGTTATAAATGCACGAAATGGTCCCTAAATCTATTGAATAAGAGCATAATAAACTCTAAATAAATGATAAAAAGCAATTTCTTGAATAAAAATAAATACTGTAACAACATTTTTGCAAGATTTCCGAGCCAAACTTGACACTTTGAAAAACTGACAGTCTGTCATTTTTTTTCAAAAATCCATATTGCAATCCATTTCCATCCTCGCTGTCATGTTCAACAGTCACTAATATAAATGGTACATTATGGCTATCAATTTATTGTATCTATAGAGATCACAGACTGCCGAAATAATTAGTTCGCTCTATATTTGAAATTTTATTTGGAAATTTCTCATTAAGCCACGGAGCATGCAATCTTTAAAACGACAAATCCATATTGCAAATCCATATTGCAATCCATTTCCATCCTCGAAGTCATCCTCACTTCCTAATGGGTTCCTGTCATTTGTCGAGTACTATTCCGGCAGAATCAAACCATTATAATTGTTCAACTTCCTATGATTAGATATGTTTCTGAGCTTCCCAAAATCATGCTTAAAATGAGGACAGTGTCGCTTTAATGAAGAAGAAAGTTACATCAAGGAAATTAGAAAGAAAATTATATTATATTTGAAAACTATGTATACGTTAAGTTACAACGAGCCAAATTCACGTTATGCGAAAACCTCGAAGAAAATCTCACCTTTGTTTGAAATAATTGCTTTTTTTCACTGAGTCTTGCTTTGCGGAAAGTGCCTTAGTTATAAATTAAATAAACGACAAAAATTGTATCTACACATCAAATAATTTGCGACAATTATGACAGAAGACTGATTAATTAGCTCATAGCTCATATGATTAGCTGTAAAGGTTTGACAACTTCTCGCAAAAACTGTCTACAAGGCTTTCCTGTATCTTCGCCGACGTCATACATGTCGCATTTAAACATTTACCGGATTAAAAAAAGCAAAACAAAAAACAAAAACAATATAATTGGAAAATGCATGCGAAATTAATTTTAGTTACCCGGCGAATGAAACGATGGAAAGGAATCTATACCGCTTCAAAATATGCATTTTATGGCAACTCTTGCCACACAGCCATACAAAAGTAGGTAGGTTTTTAAAAAATAGATATCTAGCTCGTTCAATATTCAACTTCTCCCTCTCAGCTCTTTTAAGCTTTTATTTGCAACAGTTACTAAATAATATAATGGTACAATGGCTATCAATTTATTGTATTTATAGAGATCACAGACTGCGAAATAATTAGTTCGCTCTATATTTGAAATTTTATTTGGAAATTTCTCATTCAGCCACGGAGCATGCGATCTTTAAAGCGACAAATAAGCTGTTATAAAGAGAAAATGTCAAACGTTCTTTTAATTAACCCTTTCACTCCCAAAAGTGCTAAGTTCAAAACTGAGGAAAAAATCAATTTAATTTTGCAAAATTGTCAGAAACAAAAAGTGAAAGTACTGCTCAAAAGCTTTCATTTGAATTGTCACACATTGGGGTTTCATCCACAGACTCAAAAGTTACAACCAAATATTTGACTAAGGTTTGACTCGGGGAGTGAAACTGGTAAAGCAGTTTCGTTGAATGAATTGCAAGCTGCTGTAGTAAGCAAATATGCCATAAATATCAAACAAACTTCAAAAGATCTAAAGGATATCAGGAAGCTAGTTTGACAGTTTTTCTATTCGCGCGACCTTTATAGAATATATATTGCTTACGCATAATCGTCAATTTTTCTAAGAAACTAATACAAATATTGTTTGTATCATAGTGCTTTTGATTCTGAAGAAAACACGAATTAGTTCTGATTTTCGTTCTCGCTTGAACTTAATGAAAAATATGTTTATAAGTTTTCCTCGTCAAATTGAATTTTCAAACGTGAACAAAGCTTAAGTATAACTCCAATGGCACCGTACAGTATTGTTATTTTTTTCAAAGCCGGATTAAGTTTAGTGTACATACAGAGGAGGGATGAACGTCTTCCGACAATCCTTTGCGGTCTCGGATTTGACAAGATGGCAGCGACTTTCCTGTCGCGAACCGGCGAATTTCGGCATTTTTCATTTTCTTCAGCGTTGAAGCGCTAACCTGTAAGTAAGCTAAGGTAAGTAAGCTTGTCAACTCATCTTTATCATTTCTTTTTAAGGTTTCCTTCAAGTTCCACCATAGTTAATAGAGTTATGAAGCGCGGCAAAGTTCTTTGTTATATCTTTTTGTTCGCTTTTTTTGCCTTGACCGTGCACAAAACCTGACAAAATACAATAGGTGGTTACGTGTGTTCAAGCAACTAACCAATAGAAACGTTTCGATTACGTAATTCATGCATAGTGTATGAGCGCAAAACAAAAGATTGTGCAGGGTCGTGGACCTTCCAACATAAATCTTGCCATCTTTGTTTGCTCCTTTGATGTTTGCCGGGCTTCATAACCATTTCCCTCTATTAACTATGGTTCCACAGATAAGTTCTACTAGATAAATCCTTAAAGGACAAGGTCACTCCAGAAAGCATATCTTTTTAACTTTTTTGTAATCACCAATAAAAAGTAAACATTGAGTTGAGCTACATACCGTTATCTAAGCTTCGAAAGTATGCGCGATCCTCATGAAATTTGTCTCCAAAGCCCAAAATTCGACATCGAGCGCCGCCATTTTGAATCGTACTTAGCTGCCTGGCCGCGTATACGTGACGTCATTCCGTCCAACTTGAAAGGAGGTGGGGGAAAAGTTTTGACTTTTTTTCCGGTGAAGAGACGTGCACGGTGTGATGGTGAACGACCAAAAGGGGCGCGCAAAGAGCAAGACTTGCGTTAATCAAGAACGCTATCGACCGACGCACCCTGTCGCTTGATTGGCCAAGGTGCAAGTTTACCGGAAACTGCCGATCATTGTCTTTGTAACATACTTTTATAATTGATTTGATTTGATTTTTTACTTTTTTTATTGGTACACATTACTTACTTACAAAGCAAAAGAAAAAAAAACATTACAATACATGCATAAAATCCATAACTTACTGACAATATATTGAGAAAGATATAATTCTGTCAGTGACACAAGCTACTCGGAAAAAAATTCCGAGTTCCCCCCACAGGAGTTAATTTAAACCTATGAGCTTCCGCACACAGGACGGACGCTCTACCACTGAGCTACAGGAGACTCGTGGGAGCTAAGATCATATAACTAGGTTCAAGTGTGACAATATTGATTATTAACAATTATTGGATGAGGTTTTTGTGATATCCAGAATAATCAAGGTCGAGGTAAGAGTTATCTGCCGAAGCCGAAGGCTGAGACTGATAACTCTTACCGAGACCTTGATTATTCTGGATATCACAAAAACCGAATCTAATAATTGTTTTATTATACATTCAACGAAAAAAAATAATGCTTTTGCCAACGATGTTGTTTACTTATAAGCGGCAAGCAACGCAAAGCGCGCGAACTTGACATGATTACCCGTGATTACCCGTGATCCTCTCGCGAACTTGACATGATTACCCGTGACCTTGAGTGCACTTGACATGATTATTGTATAATCTGTAGGTAGATGACGTAGATGCTTTCAAAGGCGCTGATTTCGAAAATTCACTGTACTCTTTCGGCCAATCAGAAAAGAGATAGTGAGTTGAATGTATAATAATACAGGTTATATAGGTGTAATAACAGTATGATACTAAAAATACAATCCATTGCTTATCTTCTATCTTGTAAAATACTTGACATAAAAGGCCATTATGGTTTCTTCATAATGTTTGGTTTCAAATGAAACCGCTCTTACTAAAAAGATTACATGATCACAATGTGTCATAATCTAAAAAGGTCTTTAGACCCGAAAAGCCACTGCAAATACTTGACAGTTCCTACGCTGTTGCACAATAGCGAAATTTGCCTGCAGGTGACGGCTTTAGCTCGTACACATAAAACCCATTACACTCTCTTACACGGATTTGAACTCTCCTGTGGCAACAGTTATAGTATCCATTGAAGCAAGCTTCCCTGGTAACAATGCCGTCTTCCAGTGATGGGTGTACGCCGTTCAGCCAGCCTGTCATGTCGGTCTTGCATTTGTGATGGGGAATACAGGTGTCCAGCATTTTTGTGTATAGACTGGACTGAAATCGGTACCAGCCTGGGATGAGCGAGCTGTCTCGGTTACTACCTCTGCCATAGGACCGGTGACGGCCAGTTTCATTCAGCACAGCGTATTGGTGACACTCTGGCGCAGCTGAAGTAAAAACAAAGTAGAATGGGTTTAAGTCTGTTCCAATTCTTTGTGTTCATCTGACGTCATCAAAATTCTAAAATCTAAACTGTTCATCCTACATAGCTATTCTTTTTATATCTTCTAGACATGGAAATCATTGATCTCTATGCAAAGTTTGGTATCGATCCAGTGATTCCTTTTGGAAATAAAGCTATTTGAAATTTGTGATGTCCCGGATGAATGTGTTTCTGAACTGTCACAAAAAACGCATGATTTTTATAACATTTTTAAATTTTCAGACGTGATAATAATTTAGAAGTGATGTATAAACAGATTTGAAGTGAAAGCTAATGATGTTGACGGTAGAATCTACTGCAATTCTTGTGCAATTTTATGGCGGCCATATTTGTGTACCTCTGAAGGACACAAACATGGCGGCGGCATACTAAATACTGTAATTTTCTGAAAATTAGTTTGGCAATAACTCGGTTATGAAAAACGCTACAAAGCTATAATTTGGACAAAACGTTTCTTTTTGCCAGTTCTTTTACCTGTTAATTTTCTGATGTTGTTCATGCAAGCAAACAGTTTTTGTAGTGTTTGTCTGTGTTTCTTGCTTCAATTGCCATTCCAAGCCAAGCCCCAACCCCAATCTCCTGCGTTTTACCCTTTCCCCACCCCTGCTTTCTCTCTTGTTCAAGACGTTTACTATACATTGCAACAGTTCAAAATCAATTACCAATTTCACACTGATCGCCAATATATCCCGGATGACAGGTGCATTGATAGGTTCCATCTCTGAAGGATGTCGGTGTACAATTGCCATTGTTCATACAGGGCGTGCTGGAACACGGATTCTGCGGAAAAAAAAATGAATATCGGTTTCAGTTCTTTTTCATTTTAAATGTTTTGATGGTTATGTTAAACACAATCACGACATGCAACATCTTTACTTCCACACTGACATGGCTTATATATCACAATACATACACACTTACGTACCTGCCTGCGTCTTTTATATTACTTAATTACATCGAAATTTACATACTTAAATAACATTCTTAACCCATTCACTTCCAAAGGTTTTCAAATTGTCAGTAGTTAAATAGCTTTATAATTACAACTTTTATAATACCTACTTGAAATTATTTTATTTGTATCCTTTATTTTGTGACGTACTTGTAAAGAAGCTGGAGGGCCCCTGCAGACCTTACTCGACAAGTCTGTAGGACGCACCGTTACCATAGCTATATGTACTGACCACGATAAATAAACATGTTATCTTATATTATAACATTCCAAAATGTTCTTTTCTCAAAATAATAGAAAACAAATAGAGAGAATTTCCAATTTAGAGATGAATGGTCAAACTCTAGGGTTTCATCCACAGACTTAAAAGTTAGAACCAGTACAGCATAATAAACAGTACCACATGAAAGTACTGCTCAATAGCTTTCATTTGAATGGTCACACAGTAGGGCTTCATCCACAGACTTAAAAGTTAGAACCACCTTGTACAGCATAATAAACAGTACCACATGAAAGTACTGCTCAATAGCTTTCATTTGAATGGTCACACAGTAGGGCTTCATCCACAGACTTAAAAGTTAGAACCACCTTGTACAGCATAATAAACAGTACCACATGAAAGTACTGCTCAATCTGCCTCCTCCACAGGCTTTTCTAGATGAGCCCGCGAGGGGACGAGGCAGCTGATCAATAGCTTTCATTTGAATGGTCAAACTCTAGGGTTTCATCCACAAACTTAAAATTTATAACCACGTTACATATAATTGATTCCAGGTTTAACTCAGGTGTGAAACGTTTTAAACGATGTTTTGTTTGGTCCAGGCTGAATAGGGTTAAGCCATCAAATGTTCTCAAAGTTTAGAACGGATGGCAATAAACTTTTCATCCAAGTGAATTGTAAGACAACATGTTGAAAAGACAGCTGGAAATCTTTTACCACAAAGCCGCTTTGGATTAATGAAAACATTATCGTAATTACCGGTAAAATCAAACACCTTCCATAAGTTATGACATGTATGGATGTCGGAAATCTTCAAACCGATTTTGGTCGCGTGGCAGTGAAATAGGAGGTAAAGCAGTAAGTTATTAATTTTATACACAACAATTGACTTAACGGTTTACTTACAAAACAAAACAAAACAAAACAAAATATTACAGAGATACACTGCGACATAATCTAATCATTTATTTATTTACCTCAAAAATAAACATAGGATTAACTGGAATGAATGAATGTTTATTTCCATTCAAGTAATACAAATACATATTGGAAAGTGTTACAATAAAATAGCTTTGGAAGGAAGACTAAAGACTAAAGAAGCCCTCACGGGCTTAATTTTACAAAGTAGTCTCCCTGTGAGTTAACTTATTTTAATAAGTTAAAAGATCTATTGAAATTCATTCAATTGGTATCAGTGAAATTGGCATAATATGAATATAATTATTCAAACCAGTTTGATTTTTATTTTCCTTTGTTTCAGATTATGGTAATGAATATTAGACAAAGGAACTAATAAATCAAACTGGTTTGAAAATTTTTAAACCAAAACAAATTTGAACCACAACATATACATATAATTACAAATATCAATCTTACCCATTATATTTGCTTACTTTTGCATACATATCGATGTTCCTATCTTGGTAGGCTGAATCACTGACAAATTTCGCGATAAAATTGATCCTATATCGATATCTCTTCGATATACATGTAGCGATAACTGAAATATAAACAAACTACTCTGCTTTGCTACGAATCTAAATTTAAAGGGGCAGTATTACGGGGATTTTGACCTTTTTTGGTCAAAACTGTGCTTCAGTACCATTTTTATTTACAAAATAATTCTAGAACACCAAGAAAATGAAATCAACCAAATTCTTGAAAGAGGAACAAATTACGGTCTGTTCTAGTGCATTTTGGAAACGAAAATGCGAGAAATTGAAAAAAATTAGCCTAACATGTTTTTCAAATTGCAATCCATTCCGACCCAGTTTGTATGGCCAGAGACACTTATTGACAGTTTTAATACACTAGGATGGTATTTATAACAACATTTGACCATTAATTTTAGTTTTCTGTTAATACAAACACGTTTTTCGGTTTTTGAAATGACATCAAATCCCCGTGATACTATTTAATTCGATATTTTGTGTCGAACAATTTTTGTCCAACATATGGCTTGATTTGCCGCTGAATTTGTGTAGATTGTTTGAGAGTTTTAATTTGTTCCAAATTTTCTGGGCAGTTTTTGGTTTTGTGTGTTTTTCTTTTTGATTAGCTAAACGTGTCGAAAATGTCAAACTATTGAAGAAGAAGAAAATAAAAAATTTAAATTGAACGCGAGCGAAAGCTATAAACTGCGACTTTCACTCAAGCCCAGCTGCAAGCCAAATGAGAACGACAGTTGTTGTTAAGAGTTCAAAAACTCTCGCTTTTTTGGCCTGAAACCCTCGTGCGCTCTCGTCGAATTTGAACCTCTTCGAATTTTTATCTCGTTGGGCCCGAGCTGATGACAGTCGCGGAGAGTTGTATCGACAACTAACTCTCGGCAGCAAAAACAACAATTCAAAAAACCCCACTCGTTTGGCCCAGGCTTAAGTCTAAAATTATCAACTCTATTTTTAATTAGTTTAATCGATCCATGCCAGTTGAATATGATATTGATAGAATTGAGATCGTTATCTGTTAAACTATATATAACTTTATGTTCTACTTAGGTATTAAATAAATCAGTATTGGTTATAAGCTGGCTTCAACACAGTATACTGACCTGTATGCTGTAATGATGTGATTGGTGATGTGCAGTCAGCTTCTCTGTCTCATTGTAGCTTGTGAATGGAAGGAGTTCGCACCATCGCCTCCCTTTAATATCAGGTAACACAGCCACGTTGAACGAAACACATAAGGCATTTTGGAGACAAG